CAAACACACTCTTTCCTTGTTTTTCAATCCAAGTTCTTGTTCTATTCTTCTTTAGTGAACTTCAGTGAAGCTTCTCAAACAAAAAACAAGTCAAATCGTGCCTTATTCTACTCAGACCAAGTCAAGTTTCAGAGGTTTTCAAGTGAATTTCAACAGGTAGAATTCCTCACCATTTTGCTTAAAACTTTTCACCATCATGTAGTCCTTTCATCTGTGAAGCTCATGCTTCTTCTGGTTTTCATTTTCGTGGTAAAATGAGCTTGTAATATGGATTTAAAATTTCATGATCTTTCTTTTTCTCCAAATTTCTCACTCATCTTTGAGTGTTAATTTAAGTGAATTACATGGTGATGAAGGCGGTGAAGAAACGAATATAATGATGTAGGTGTGAGCCATATTGGTTGCCTTCGAATTCCATTGATTTTACAGGGTCTGGAGGTTCAAGATGACCTATGTGTCGTCTTCAACCAATGAGGAACGGACACTTGTTTTGATTTCATTGTCTGGTTTAAATTGGATCACATGCTTTTATTTCAATAAAAACCATGGTGTTCAGCGCGTGTGGATCACAAGATTTGATTACTTTATGGTCAGCTCTCCATCCAATGCTTCATACTTTTTGTCAGTTTATTTTCTTTTTATTTTATTTTATTTTTAATTCATTCAACTTTAAAAAATTAACGTCTCTTTCATTTTTATCCAAAAAATACCAAAAAATTTCAATAAAATTTTTAAAATTTTCTCTTTCTCAGTCATATTTTTCACAAATTTATTTTGTTATTTGATAATTTTTTAATTTTCTCTTTGTTTCATTTATTTTTTAATTGTTTAAAAATATTTTTAACTCTTTTAAAATTCAAAAAAAATAGTATCCAATGATGTTTTTACACTCTATGGTGATTTTATTGGGATTTTACAATTCAGTTTACTATTTTTTTTAACCTATTTTAGACCTTTTAGCTTGATTTTTAATATTTTAAAATTAGTTTCTGACCTTTTATAATTCTAAAAAAATTTATCAACAATTCATGACTCATGTTTGACCTATGATAATTTTTTGGAGTTATTATTTAGTGTTTTGATACAATTTGTGTATTTCATCAATTAATTTCATTTAATTAATTATTTTTAAAAATTGTTTTTAATTGTTTTAAATGCATTTTTTTATTTTCTATTTTGTGATTGGCTCTGACTTATGGATAATTGATGATACTTTGGGTCAATTTCTTCAATCTCATTGAATCTTGGGTGTTGATAGGTTGAAAAACCAAATCCACCAAAATGGATGAATGATATTGATGATAGTTGAATCCTTTCTTTTGATTTGCTCTGAGACCTTAGTTCCACTGTGACATTCCCTTTTATCTTCATCTCATCTCCTTCTTCTTTCCTTTAAGTGATTATTAGTGGTCCATATTTTATGTTTGAATGTCCAAGTATGATTGATTATTGTACTTTGGTTCAAAACCTTTGAAGCTTGTTGTTAGGAGGCTTTGATTTTTTCAATCCTCTAACAAGTCTTCATCAACTTTGACCTAAGTTCAATATTCAATCATCATTGATCATTTATTATGGATTTCATTTCCTCCATCCCTTTTTTCTTCTTTTCTTGAAATGATTATTTGTGGCACAAACTTTATGTTTGAATGTCTACGTATGATTGATTGATTATTTTGGATCTAATACCTTTGAAACTTGTTGTTAGGAGGCATTGGTTTTATCAATCCTCTAATGAATTTTCATTATTATTGGTCCAAGATCATCATTCAATCATCGTTGATCGTACCTTGTGACTAGGGATGGCAACGGGGCGGATCGGGAGCAGGTTTAAGCACATCCATACCCGCACCTGCCACCCAGACACAGGCCCGCCCCCGCCCCCAAGCTCGGTCAGGGTTTGTATTTGTTCCCCTGCCCCCGCCCCCAACAAAAACGGGTTTCCCCGCACCCTCCCCACACCCGCCCGGGTCAAATTTTTATTTTTTTTTAATTTATACTTTTTTTCAATAAAAATAAAACTAAATAATTGATTATTTTAAAAGCATTTTTTATGTTTGATATTTTTATTTAAATTATATTTTCAAAAAAATAAATAATAATTCTAATAAGCATGATATTATAATATTAAAAAGTGTAAATGAGTAATAAAACTATTAAAAATAAATTAAATAAATTAAATTTAGTTGGCGGGTACGGATGCAGGGTGGGTACTAGCATTATCCGCCCCCGCACCCGCACCCGTAAATAAAAACAGGATTTTCTCCGCACCCGTACCCGGCAGGGACGAGTTTATTTGCCACGCCTACTTGTGACCATTAACTTCTAACTTCTAACTCATTAACAATTAACTTTACTTTATGCTTTATTTTATGCCTTTATCTTATGCTTTTATCTTTTATGCACTTTTATCTTTAGCATTTACATTTCATATTTTTTATTTTTTGCTCACTTGAGCATTTATCTTTATGTCATTTTATCTTTGCTCATTTGAGAATTTATTTTATGTCATTTTATCTTTGCTCATTTGAGCTTTTCGTTTTCTTTTGAAGACACTTAATAACCAACTTAAAAATTAAAAGACTTAAGGCTCTTTATGGACTATTAGTTACTATCCTTGGTATATTAGAGTTATGGACCTCTTGAATTTAAGATTAGAAGCCTTGATACTTGAGACCCTGAGACCTTTGGACTTTGTTTACTTGTTGTTATTCTGCTTGTGTATTGGGAAATCTTTTATGTGCAGGTGTTGTTGTGTTGGCCTTAAGTGATCTATATGACACATGGCTCAATATTGAAGACCTTGCTTTGAATTTAAAAACCTTGAGTTTTTTTTATACTTCCTTACTTGTGATTTATTTTCACACGATGATTGTTATGCTCTTGTCTATTTGGTATTTGTGGCTTTAATCCAAAGGATGAGAATTCTATATTGACTTCATTATGTCAAGTGTCGGCTTCTTGTTTGGTAAGACCTTTCTTTATCTTAGTTTTTACTTTATCCTTTAGGATAGTCTCTTCATCTCCTCTCATTCTTCTTTAATTTTCAAAATCTTCTCCCTTTTTCAAAGGATTCTTATTTTCAAACTTCAACCACTTTTATAATAAACTTGAACTTAGGTCCATGCATTTTCAAAACTTTTTTTCCTAATCAGACCTTAACCAATTTAATCATACTTTGACATCTTTTAAAAGAATAAAAGTCACTAACCTCATTCAACCTTTTTGTGCCTTAGTGCACTTTTTCTTTTAAACTTTTTCAAAAAGTTTAAGACACGAGTCTTTTCTTTGAGTGTTTGCAAATCTCACAACTTTAACAAACATGGTAATATTGAAATAACTTTTCACTTGTATGATGAGACTTGCACTGTTGAGTTGGTCCAAGCTATAAGTTCTCCATATTTAAGTTGAAGCAAGTTCTCTTTTTACCATGATTGTCATAGTTTATTGATTTTCCACTCAGATAAGACGAAATGTCTTTTACATTAAAATCAATCATAACAAACCAAATTTAGTTTTTTTTTACTCTAACTACATGAGTTTTGATTTTAATATTGCACATTGTTGGTATGTAGTCCTAGAGCTCATTGGAAGCTTTATCAAATCAAAAATTGTAAAAAAATACTTCTTTTTTTCTCTCATCCCCCTAGTCTCATTTTTGTACATATTTTTAGTCAAATACACAGATTTTCAAAGAGATTCTTGTGGAGTATCGTAGATGTTTAATGTGCTAATATCTTCCATTTGTATAACCAACCCTCTTACCTTGATCTCTATTTTACTTTGGGTTTTATTCGCTCTTTTAGAACAATAAAGTGTGGTGGCGACTTTCACTTTGTGAGTTAAGTCAATGACTTAGTCTCAACTTTTTGTCGCTACACTAGCCCTCACAATAACACACATGTGCAGTGCCATTATCCCTCCACCATTCATGCAAATTGAGTCATATCATGACTTTCTGAAAAATAAGTAGTTAACAATCTCCCCCAATCAATGGGAAACGATTACCACCTCTTAGAGTTTCCTAAACATTAGGTCCAATGACTTCTATAAATATCTGACAGTTTGAGGCAAAATATAATTTAACCAGCATTACGCTTATCAGAGAGTTTCTCACCTCATGTAAGTTAGCCTCTCTTACCATAGAAAACACCATAACACCATCATACAAGATCTTTCGTTGTAGCAGGCAAACCCTTACCATTATAAAACTATTAAAGTCTTTAATTATTCTCTATATTTTTTATTAGTACAAAAATAAATTAAAATTCTAAACATATTTTATTTAAAAATATCGATATCCAACTAAAATTCATGAATATCTAAGAATTTATCTTATTTTCTTCTGTCCACAAAAACGATTATAATTGTTTGTTTCACACAATTAAAAAAAAAAACTAGGAGTTAAAGAAAGAAAATATGAATCTTAACGACATATTTTTTTTAAGTATAAATATATTTTCCATTATTAAAATTGCAAAATGATATAATAACTCATTAGTGATACATAATGGTATTTATCTAAAAAAGAAGGGATGTATATAATATTGATTATTAATTAATTATATACTAAAACAATCTTTAGTATTACACTAAAAATAACCTTTTTTAAGAAATTTTTTTAAACTGTGATGGTTATCCAGACAAACACTAAAACATATTGGTAAATTGGGGCAGTCTAAATGTGAACATTATCAAGATAGCCTTCTCAAGAAACTAAACATGATTATTAATTGACTCAGATATTTGTTCGGATAGTATTGCTGAAAAACCCGATTTTTAAGAATTGTGACGGATAAAACCGTCATAATATTCACATTTAAACTACCTCAATTTACCATTTTTTATAGGATGTGTTTGAATTTTAGTATCCGGATAAAGTTAATTTACAAAAGCTTCGTTCTGAGAATTTCAAATCTCAAAGCAGCAAATCCTTCAACCAGTTACTACTTTATAAGGAATTTTATCTTACAAAAAGGAGTCTCCAAAATCCAACAATTTTTTCACAAAACATAGTACCAGAATGTCATAAAAGCAGCAATCCCAGTTACAATACAAAATGTATCCAACCTATTTTCACTTCTCATCTTCTCCTCTTTTAACTCATTTTGCACTTTTGAATACATATGACAAGATTCAATAGCTTCACTATAATTTTTGCTCCTTCTGCAACTAAGTGCTTCCTTAAGAATATGCAAACTGTTTTTTCCATTAACATGGGAACCTTCCATATCTTCCAACTGCATGCTAAGTTCTGTTAACTTGAGACTAGTTTCAAACCCTTCTTCTTCAATGTGTACCACTCTAAACTTCATAACAAGGATACATTGCACTACTTGAGAAGGTAGAATGTCTTTCGCAGGTAGAACCGATCCAAATCGGATGACAAAGTCTTTATCCGTCGGCCAATGTCTTTGACCGTCTAGAGGACTCCAGCTAGCAAGATTAGCAGCTTGCTTTATTTTCTTGTTTACTAATATCCAACTAAGAAGGAGACCGTCACGAAGCTCGTGCCATAGTTTCCCGTCTTTCCTTTCTCTTTCCATCGATGTAATTGGTGGGAGACCGTCGGTTACGGAAAGAGTTACCTCCCCGTCATTGTTATCATCTCTATCAGCGTAAGTGAGGAGATCAATACGAAAAGGACAGTTGTAGAACCAACCAGCGTTATCGTTTGCATTTGGAATTCCGGATAGAACTTTGGAGCAGATTGGTTTCCCTTTAAACCTAATGTCTACAATGGAAACAAAATCCGACGGGGTGATGCTTTCAAATTCATTTGTATCCCCGTAGTATTCGGCTTCGGTCCAATCATCAAGATACTCAAGGTAGTTGTTCCAATGATACTCTCCGACCTCCTTGTTTATGATAAGAGGAAAACAATCGGCATAGAATTTTCTGAAACCACCGATAGAGGAGATTAAACTTTTGACATCCTCCCTATTGGTTGAAGGCCACACGGATGCGCATACATCTTCCCATAAACTCTCTTCTTTTGAGATGGAACAAAATGCTGCACACGTACAAGCTAAACTAGCTAATGCAGAGCCATCAAGTCGTCGTAATATGTCATAGAAGAGATCACTACTCAATGAAGCCATGCTATCAATTGGTGCAATTGACATAGCAACAGTCCTGACTGTCAAAAAACAAAATTCAAATTAATTTATCAAGCAGACACTGCAATACTGCAGATCAGGTGAAGGTAAATCAGTGATGGATACCACGGATTCCTAGATTGGAACCAGACTCTGATAGCATATTATGTTTTTTTTAATATTGAATATAACTCATTCTTATAAAACTGGCTTGTAAACTCTAATCAGACCATATCTCTATTCTACATAAAACTACGATATTTTTCAATACACTTTTATACTGCTCAATACACGTATATTTGAGAGAATAAGTGGCAATAACAACTTATCAGCACCCAAATATTAAAGTAAGCTACTTAGAAACCGTTGATTAACAGAAACACGTGCACACACCGGTTGAAAAGATGTTTGATCGAGACAGGATACCAGAAAGCAAAAATATATAAAGCCTCTATGAGAAGAGGAAACTTTCAATAATGATCATCTATGAATTTCGATATCCTAAATAGATAGTAGAAGCTAAGTGTTCCAATAATATAAAATAGTCAATTCACATCTTAACAGCAAGATCAGCAAGCAGTTGAATCAGTTCCATGTTCATGTATATGCGTTTACAAAATTTAAAGAAAACTCAACACTACTTTTCACTTTCTCTGAATTTTTCAGTTTCATCAAATTGTTGTACATTAGAAAAAAAGCATCAAATTAGCATATGCGAGGCTTACAACTTATAGCTTAACATAAAACTTGTTTTGGGTCGGTCACAAGGCCTAGGACGAAAGGCCCAGAGGCGAAGCAAGGAAGTTAGAAGTACATACGAGAAACAGATGTTCCTGAAGCACACAATTCTACCTCTAAAGCATTACCAGCAGGATCAATCAGATGGCCGACCCAAAAGTGGTTCATTCCACTCTCACATCACTTTTGATTCTCTCACTAACTTGGACGTCAGAGTACTAACCTTGCAGGTCAGCCCCTCTCTGCCGCACCAGAAGCTCAAGACCATTGTAGCTACTTCACTGTTCACCGAACAACTTTGGTTCCATAACTGAACAAAACCTATTTGAATTGACTTATTTGAGCTTATTTAGAAGCTTATAAACACTACTATTTCAAAGAGCTCAAAGAAAAAGCATATGGCATGTCCATAACATGCTTTTAACTTATTTTCATAAGCTCTACAGGATGAATAACTAAAACAGCTTGTACCTTTTTCCTAAACCTTGTTGACTTCATTTTATCTTTTCTTATACAATTAACTAAAAATTAGCACTAACATGAAGCATGATCGTACTATAAGCACTTATTTAACTAAGTTGTTTATCCAATCAAAATTAAAGTCAACCATACTTGAATAACTTGCAACCCTTTATAGAGCTAGCAGAAGAATACCCTTTTAAGAAACATCGCAGATTGACGAACAAAATTGATAAATGGCAAACATATATGGAAAATAAACAGAACAAAAAAAAGGCAGAAAAAATTGTCGGTTGTAGTTTACTCACCTTAAAAACAAGACCCGCTTAATGATCAACAATACGAGAAAGGTGTCTGAAACAGAATAAGCGAAAACAGGAAGTGAAAGAAGGAGAAGCAAAAGCAATAATTTAAAAAGATTGGGTTAAGGGTCAGAATCGATTAATTTGGTTTAGAAAGACACGAATACCGAATAGGAGGCAGTTTCTGAAGTCAAGTATTTCTCTTTCTGGTATCCACTAATCAAATTTTGCCACGACCAAACCTCTCTTTATCTCAAGATATTTTTCTTTTTATGTATGTACGGTATCGACATTGAAAGAGACAAATAATCACTTTTTTTTTTATAATGAGACGATATCATTTATTTAAATTTGAGGAAATAATATTTTATTGTTTGTTTTAAATAAGTTTTGAATAAAATTTATTTATATTAAGGGATTGTCTATGAAGAGAGTAATCAGAGTTGTTGAGTTAATGTATCTATCATTTACATAATTAAGGGATCCTCAGACTTCAGTGAATTTCTTCTACTTCGATCTTGTATGAGTATTGTCAAATTTTTTTTGGCCTAAGAATGTATCGATCTAATCATATGGAGAAAGCATCTATTAGATTTGATAAAGAGTTGTGAAGGGTGGTTGAAGACATCTCGGTTGGTGGATGTCCTTTCTTCAAGGACCTTCAATAGATGGTGGTTTTTTTACCTATTAGAGTTGGGGATTGAGTTTGTATTCGGTAGTAGGTATGTCTCATATGTGTTTGTGGCTTCTAGGACCCGGTTTTGGGTGTTACATAATCATATATTGAGATACAAGATGATCATTAGATGATCTTAGTGTTGTAATTCTCGATTTTGACCTTAGTAGATTCACTAATTCACTAGCAAGGATAATATCCCTCCTAAAGCACATCATATTTTGGTGAATTCCATTTTTAGTAAAAGAGTTCAAGACATGGATGTAAAGTTTGACATGATCACAAGATAGAAAACAGTCTTTTGTTGTTTGCAAGCAACATATGCTCAAGATTTTCTCCTTACTATATCTATTGATGGTATAGGCTAACATATGTCTCTGTTAGAATATTTCCCAAATGTCATTTTATGATTCCCTTATTTCCTGTTGATGAGGTTTTTCCTATTTGGCACAAGGTGTGCTTTGATATATTTGAGAAACACACAATTCATTATAAGGAGCTTCCAGGAATCAAATATTTACATGACTTTGTTAGACACGTCTTATTTGATATATTTTTGTGTGTCAGGGTATTTGTGAAAAATAGACATTTGTGAATATCTTCATTGACTCACAAGAGGGGAGATTGACACATAGGTCAGCAGATGTTTTTAGTGTATAAGTGAGGATGAGTTAGGAATACAGATAGGTCAGGTCAGGCACTACTACAAAAAGCGCATTTAACCTCGGACACGAAATGCATTTTACATCAGCTAAAGAAGTGAGGTAACGAAAGGGCGTCATGAAAAGTAACGACTTAACACCTCAGTTTTTAAAATATTGAGGGATAAATTTATTTGCTCGTGGGCTCGAACTCCATCGTCTGCACTTTTATTATTTACGAAACTAGTGTCTCATATATCTCGATTTAAAAATAAAACTGAGGAGTAAGATAGATTTTTTTTTTAAATTAAAACTCGTTACATTGTTTACACAGAAAATTAATAAAATAATTTATTTACAAACTATAATGTTTATCCAGAATATTACATTGTTTACATAAAATATTAAAATAAAAATTAATTTGTCCATGAAGATCATATGTTAGATCTTGAATCCTTGATATTTGGGCAAGATCAAATGATGGATACCAATATATTCTCAATTACTTTTTTATACATTTGTTTCTGATATAAACAAAAAAAGGTTAGATAAAAAAAGGGTTAGATAAATAACTAATTTTCTGCTCAAATAAATATTTAAGAACACAAACCTTAAACTCAATTAAAGTTTTATGCTCTTGCAATCCATCAGAGAGAACTCTTCTTGACAAATACTCTTGCAAATCTTAAAGTAGATGATTTATATAGTTTCAAGTGCTTCATGATGTTTCATTATCAATTTTAGATATCATAATGTTTTTATAATGGAAGTTTTTAGGTTTCACGTGAATCACTAATGGTAGTGTCTTGAGCGTTGATGTGAGTGCAATATCTTCTATTAGATTTTTTGAATGATGTCAAAATTATGAAATATTTAGTATTTGTATATTAGACGGTATCTCTCTATTGAAGGTGTGAAAAACACAAGAAAGGGGTGTTGAATTGGATTTTAAATCAAAAACTTTTCTTAAAAAGAATCTCCTTTAACTAAAAACAATTTTCTTCACTATTGATAATAATACTAAATATACAAGAAGGAAAGAACAAGTTATGTTTATACTAGTTCACTTGAAAATTATCAAGCTAGTTTAGTCCGTCCGCCAAGGTGATTTTGCCTTATCAAACAAGGTCTTAATCCAATAATCTCACAAATTATTACAATGCACAAGCTAACTGCAAGTGACTCACGTACAATCTCTAAGACACATTAATCTTAGACTTCTCAAGGATACTAACCAACTGATTCCTTAAGGTACAATCAAACAACAATTTGAAAAATATTTGTTTATAATAGATTTGCTTCTACACAAGCTGATAGTAAACAATATTTCAAGAACAATACACTTAAGAAAATAAAGGAATGCTTAAGAACAGTCTTATAAGAGAAAATGTGAATTAGCAGCCTTTTCCTTTGTCTTCAAGCATATATATAGCCAATAAAATAATATATCAGTTGGAGGGCATTTCTGGAAATTCCAGAAAGCTGGCATCTTATTTCAACATGGAGGACAAGATCGTACAACGTATTCGTCCTTTCACAGTAGTGGAGAGAAATGTTTGTTTGTACCATGTATTATTGTACCACGTAACCTTATCTTCTTATCTTCTTGACTTCAGAGACTTCTGATTGAGTATGACTTAGAAGAAAGAAAATAAAACTTGGTTCATCAGAACTTCAAGTCTTCAGAGTCTTCAGAACTTCGTTTTCAAAGTCTTCAGAACCCTTTGTCTTCAGAAACATAAGTTTTTAGCATCTGGATTGTTCATCAAAAATTTTGTCTTCAGATCTTTAGAACTTGATTTCTTTAACCATGTATAAGAGTCTAAACTTTAGAGCCTTCTGAAGTGGTTTGCTACCGTTCATCAGAATTTGTGTAGGGCAGAAGCGGAACTTGGTCTCTTCTAATGACTCGGTAATGCCTTTCACCAGAAACAGAACTTATTTGTTAAATATTAAAAATAACAAACATTAGAGTACCAAAGTTATTCATATAAACATACTCGTTGTTATCATCAAAACTCAGATATAATTGCAGAACCAAATCTTATTCTAACAATCTCCCCCTTTTTGATGATGACAAAACTATATATTTTGATGATACAATTTTATACATAATCACAAAAAGTATCAGAGATATGAAGGGTAAGAAATACTTATCATTTATATGAAACTCCCCCTGAATCTAAAACTTGGTGAAGATCATATATCCTG